TGGGCAAGCAGAGTTAATGCTCACCTGTAACCCCTGGTTATTGTTTCTTGACCCTCCTCCCGGGACCAGCAGACTACTGAGCATCCTCTGCAGGGTCAGGCTGGCAAAGGGGTCCAGAACAACTTTGATCTTACTTAAATTATTCTCAAATAACTTTCAGAACCTTGTGGTCCCTCAAAATCTAATTTAGTGAGAATATTCAAGCCTTGTTTTTTGTAACAGACTCTGGACAGATAAAAAGCTTTAAAGTGAATACCCAGAGAGTCATATGTATCTTAATACATTTTAGAAACTGATTCTAAAACTCATGCATATTACTTGTAGAAAACTTGGAAAATAAGAAAAGTATTAGTCAGCTTTATGCTACAAATGATTCCCCAAATCTCAGTGGCTTACAGCAACAAAGGTTTATTTCTCCCTCGTGTTTTATACTGGCTGTGGATCAGCCAGGCTCTGTTCTGTGTCTCCACTCCAAGACACAGGCTGCAGAATCAGCCCCCTTGGGATGTGTTGTTCTCGTAGCAAGGAAAATGGAACTGGCTGAACCTACAATGAGTTTTTAAAGCTTCTGCTCCAACATCGTGTATATCACTTCTGCCCATATCCTGTTGTCTGAGCACGTCGATGGCCAAGCCCAATGTCCATGGAGCAGGGTAGTATGCTCCCTTCAGAGGGAGGCCCTCTGAGTCACGGGCAATGGGCAGAGAGGTCTCACCGGAAGGGGAGAGCAAAAATGAAAAACAAAACAGTATCTACGACAAGCATGAAAAAATAAAATATAATTACCACAATTCCATCAACCCAGAGATAACCACTGTCACCCTCTTGGTGGATTTCTTTCAGGATATGCTCCTAAGCATGTGTAAACTAACATTCCTGTCTAATCGCCATTTACATAAAAATCACTCAAAATAGTGAAATAAAAGCAATCCAACCCAGGTACTCTAACAATCGGTATATCAAACCCCAACCAAAGGATTCGGTCAGCCTCCCCCAGCCAAACCCAAACTCCCAAACCAGATCAGTTAATTGATTCGGCTGGAGAACCAGATTAATTGGCACCACGGTGGTGGAGTGCCTAATGTATGTCAGATATTGGTATTGGTGGACTGAATCATGTTGATTGGATTACATAAATTGAGTCCAACTGACTTCATTTGTACAATATTGTAACTTAAATATAAACTATAGAGAACAAACTGGTGGTTACCAGAGAGGAGGTTGGGGGGGGGAGGGTGAATAGGTGATGGGGATTAAGAGTATACTTACCATGATGAGCACAGGATGATGTATGGAATTCTTGAATCACCATATTGTACACCTGAAACTAATATAAGTGTGTTAACTCTACTGGAATCAAAATAAAAAAAACTTAAAAAAAAAGAAATATGGTAAATCAGATGACCAAAACATATTTGTCCATGGTTCCTGGCTCACAGCTCTCAAAACCCTCTGAAGTTTTTGAGTGATAAAAGCAATGGGAACATATTTTGTTATACTGGGTCACCTGTCCTCTGTTCTTGAAAACACTTCACTGTCATAAAGGTGAAATGGGTATCTTGGTTTCATGCTCCTTTCCACCACAACTGGGTTTATGTTAATAAGGTGACTTTGGAAAGCACCTAAGGGTGGGGCTGGTTGCCAAGGGAACCAACCATGAATAGAAGGTTGGAACTCTCAGTCCCACCCCCTGATTTCCACGGAGGAGAGAGGGGCTGGAGGTTGAATAGGTCACCAATGGACAATGATTCAATCAATTATACATATGAAATGAAGCTTCCATAAAAACCCAGAACATGGGGGTCCAGAGAATTTCCAGGTTGGTAAAAGAGAACGCCTCCACATGCCACCATGCTGGGCCCAAACTCCACGGGAACAGAAGTGCTTTTGTGGGGGGATCTCACCCTCTGTATCTCTTTATTTGGCTGTTGGCCCATCTCCTTTAATATCCTTTGTAATAAATCAGTAACCTGTTGAGTACATGAGTTTCCTGAGTTCTGTGAGCCACTCTAGCAAATTGATTGAACCCAAGGACTGGGTTGTGGGAATCTCTGATTTATGCCAGTCAGTCAAAAATACAGAATCCCTCTACTTGGGATTGGCATCTGAAGTGGAAGGCAGTCTTATAGGACTGAGCCCTCAACCCGTAGAATCTGATGCTGTCTCTGAGTTCATAGTGTCAGAATTGAGTTGAATTGTAAGACACACAGCAGCTATTGGAGAATAGCGTGGTAGTGGGGGAAACACCCACCCTCCATATGCTGGAAATGGAACCAAATCCTAATATATAAGTGTGAGTTTTTTATGAATGTCTATTTTTTATTTTAAACTTATTGATTAAAGATTTTTGCGTGTATTGCTAAAACTTTACAAGCATAATTTTAATGACCACATAAAGGTTTCTTGTGTGGCTATATCATATACACTCACCCCAAGTCTCGAACATTTTGAATGCTGCCAATTTGCACTGTTTAAGTAACTGCTGCAATCTACGTATATTCATAAAATAATATCTTAGTACAAAAGTAACTCATTTTCATCACAGAATATGTAGATAAAGAAAAGAAGTAAATTTCCCCGCAATTCTACTTACTAGAGATTAATCATATGGCTATACCTAAGTATACTAAACAACAGTGGGATCATTTAAAATATATACAGTTGTATGATTTTCTGATTTGTTCTCATGCTCGAGACTCATAGAGGGGGAATTGACAGGACAAAGGGAATGACCATGCTTAAGTCTCTTGATACGTCTTGCCGTCCCAAAATGTTGTGTTGATGTGCACCTCCTCCCACCATGTCTCTGTGTGCCCTCACCCCACTACAGTAATTGTGTTGTGACTGTTACTTGCTTCCATCTTGCTGGCAGAGACCTTGGCTTGAATCCCAGCGACAGCCCAAGTAGACATTGTGTCTAGGTGGCAGGCCAGCCCCCAAAAGGCAGAGTGCTTTGGGACCGTGTCAGCCTCTGCCATGCTATCCTGTTTTGGTAACAACTGTGGCTCAGTTTCCCTTCTCTGAAAGGGCAGTGGCTACTGGTTGCTGCCACCTTTGATTTTTGTCTCCACCTGCAGCTCACCTCATGGGACTGCTGGACATAGTGATTGCTCCTAAAACATGGAACATGGCAACAGTGATGGATATCTCCTCTGAAGTTAGGCTGCGAGAGACAGTGACTCTGTCTTGCTCGTACGCGTTCTCTTGCTGGTGCTCTCTCGCCTGCTCCCTTTGGTGAAGACAGCTTCTCTGTAGTGAGCTGCTCTATGGAGAGGCTGATGTGCTAGGCAGTTGAGGATGGCTTTGGGCCAACAGCCATTGAGGAACTGAGGCCCTCAGTCTAACAGTCCTCACGTTCTACCAACAACCATGTGCAAGAGCATGGAGGTGGACCCTTCTCCGGTTGAGCCTTCAGACACCTTGATTGCTGCTTCATAAGTGACCCCCAGATAAGCCACATTTGATTCTTGACCCGCAATAACTATGGGATAATACATAGGTGTTGTTTTAAGCCACTGAACTGTGGGCTGATTTGTTACACAGCAACAGATAACTAAGAAGAGCTCCTACTACTCAGTGAGTATAAAATGCTTGTTTGTTTGTCCTTTTTTAAGGAAAATACTTTCTAATAGATAGTAAAAGTGTTGAGCAGCATTGCTCTAGATGAGAGTTACAAAATGATAAACCACAAGCTAAAATTAGCTTGCAGATTTTGCTTTTTGATTCCCCCCCATCCCTGCCTTTTGTGTGGAGGGGAGGTATCTACACAGTGTTTAAAAAACATTTTGAGTCAGCGTTTAAAACTTGATAGATTTCACACACACATCACTGACCTCTCTGGACAGATTGGAAGCTGGGCAGCTGTGGTCCTCATTCCTGCCTGGTGACTGACAGCTGAAACTGAGCAGCACTCTGCTTCGCTGGGGCATGAAGGAGACTGTCATAAAACGCACGACTCCTTACTGTCCCCATTTCTCAGGCCAAGTGTCAGCGGCAATTTATCACTGCATTTCCACCGTTTTTTTTTTAAGATTTTATTTATTTACTTATTTGAGAAGAGAGAGAGAGAGATAGTATGAGCAGGGGGAGGGGCAGAAGGACAAGCAGACTCCCCGCTGAGTGTGGAGCCTGATGCAGGGCTGGATGCGGGGCTCGATCCCAGGACCCGGAGATCATGACCGGGGCCGAAGGCAGATGTTTCACCGACTGAGCCTCCCAGGAGCCCCTCCCTGCATTTCCACCGTTTCTTATGGTAGAGTAAGAGGGAGTTAAGAGAATGTTAAGATACAGGAAAATGTTGTTTCCACATCTTCATCAAAGGGAAGTAAAGGTGAAGAGGGTCAGCAGTTGAAACCGAGCACAGTGAATGTCTCGCGTCTGCTCCATATGACATCTGCCGAGGCCAGATGTCCAGAATGTCTTCCTCACTCATCTGCTGGTGCTGCAGTTTGAATGGGTCCAACTGCCACAGACTTTAGAAGTATGACTGCAGCTGAGCCAGACTGCGGGTCAGCTTATCGCCTCTCAGGGTGGGCTGGATGTGGAATTGACTTGACTTGCCCATCAGGTCATGCATGAGTCAGCCCCTCACTTCATGTCCCCAGCCAGGGACAGGGCCCAGCCTGATCTGGGATGTTCTAGGAGGAGGGCGGCTCTGAAGAAGGCGGGGGTGAATGAATGCTGTCTCCAGTTAGGGAGGCAAAGAGCAGAACTAAGGGTCAATGTGAAACCCCACCACCAGTCAGGAGGGGGGACAGGGTCTATGGGGAAAAGCCAGCAACAGGCTGAAGCCCCAGAGGTGGTAATTCTGGCCACCATTGCTGAGGCCCACTTCATGTGCCAGCCATAGGCAGAAGCTTTATATGATTTCCCTCTAAGCTGCTATTTTGGGGGTCTCAAGACCATCTTCAAGTTGGAGGATTCACCAGAACTCACAACACTCAATGCCAGGTTATATCCATGGTTAAAGTTTATTAGAGGAAAGGACACAGAGCAAAAGCAATAGGAAAAAGATATGTATTGGGCGAGGTCCAGAAAGGTCGGGAAAGGTCCTGAAAGGTCAGGCACAGACTCCCAAGCCCTGCCCTCCTCATAGGGGCCACACAGGACACACTGTTCTCTGCATCAGAGAACTATAGGGACACACATGAAATGTCTGTCCAGGGAAGCCTACTCAAGTCCCAGGATCTCAGGGTCTTCCAGACAGCTGGTCACATAGGCACATCCTGCTATAGTAACCAAATCTCAGGGTCCTAAGGGTGAAACTAGATGTATCAGCAATCTTGATGTTTGCAGGAAACAATCCTGACAAGTCCTGAGAAGCTGCTACTTCTCAGCGATGCCCCACTGATCTGGGGATACACAATGTCATCCATCAGTAGCAAAAAGATTCTGAGGGTCACAATCCCAGGAACTGGCCAAGCATTAATCTTGGTTCCAGGCTCCCGGACATGAACAATGGGCAACCAGACCTACTGTGTTCTTTCTTTCCTCCCAGCCTTATAACGAGCTTGCACGTGAGCATTGCTAACCTATTTACAGATGAGGAAACCATGGCTCAGGGATACAAAGTGACAGGTCGGGGCAGGGACTCAGAACCCATGACTGTGGAGGAGGGAAGGCGCACACTGATTAAAAGCAAGGACTCCAACAGGTGCTTGGACTCCAACGGGTCCTTGGGGTGGCTCAGTGGGTTGAGTGTCCAACTCTTGGTTTGAGCTCAGGTCCTGGTCTCAGGGTCGTGAGCTTGAGCTCCATGTTAGGGTCCATGCTCAGCGTGGAGTCTGCTTGAGATTCTCTCTCCTTCTCCCTCTGCCTCTCCTCTCTCTCTCAAATAAACCTTAAAAAAAAAAAAAAGGCAAGGACTCCGAGGCCTGATAGGTCTGTATCCTAGTGTTGGTTCTGCCACTAAATTCCAGGATTGTCACAAGCAATTTCACCTGTGTAGCAAAAATAAAATAATGGTCTCGGAGGACTGTTCCTAGGAATGCGTGAAATAATACCGCGGAACCGCTTAGCATGGCTCGTAGCGCACTGTGAGCGATGCGTGAATATGAGCTCTCCGGATTTCTGTGGCCATGAGGAGGTGGAATGGCTTACCTGATTCCAGCCAGAAGCACAAAAACAGCTCTAGGGAAAAGAGGTGCAAGAGATGCGCCTTTACTCCAAGGGGGCTGCCTCAGATGGGCCGGGCGGCACGGGGGCCTTTGGGCTCCCCAGGGGAGCAGCAGATGGGAAGGACCTGGAAAGGTAATGGTGGCAGCCTTCTTGAGACAGGTGCAGGCTGTGGGGCCCGTCTCCGGCATGCCAGCCTCTGAAACGGTTCTATGAGGCAGCCTGTGAGGGGAAAACAGCCTGATGGAGCTCAGCCTGCATGTGTAGCGTCTGAGCCGAGGAACCCCAGCTCCCCCGGCAGCATGTTCTCTGCACAGCAGAGGAATCAATCCCCAAGGTCTACAGACTGTTGCGAGGCCCCAGCCTGAGCTTTGAAAGCCTCCCCTGGGGCCAAGACTCCGACAAGGTCCTCCCTGCATCACGCACCAAGCCCCGGCCAGCGGCAGCGCGGACCAGCCTGGGTTGTGGCCACCATCAAGCCTTCAGGGAGGCAGCCAGCCTGGGGAGAGGTGCAGGGGTTGGTGGCGAACGCATAGCCTGGCTGGCCGTGGCAGGTTGCCACCCGGCTTGGCCCCCTGTAGGAAGTCACCGCAAGTCTCCGGAGGATCTGTTTATCAACTGGGCACAACAGGGTAGTGGAAGGTCACGTGATTTAGCGCGCACGCGGGCCGCCCACGCCCGTGCCAGTTGCGTGGGATCTGAGCCGCACAGATCATCTGAGCATTTCCAGCTCCTCGCCAGCCTGTTAACGTCAGAAGACAGAAGCTCCTCTTTAAAGCTGGGAGGGGGCTGCGTCCTGACCCCACGTGACCCGCAGCCCCGCCCACAGGCGCTGGGCGCCAGCCCCGCCTTCCTACGAGGGCCTTCTTCCCCTCTCCGGTTGGCCGCGGGTCAGCTACTCGTTTCCCGGGGCAGACAGCTGCGTCTGGGCCTGCCGACTTCGTGGCACAGGCCTCCGGGGGACGCTGCCCAGAAGTGCCAGGCACGCCCCACCAGACCGACGCGTCCCCCGGCTGGGTTCTGAGCTCTAGCCCTGGCTCCAGCGTGTCCCAGCTGTGGCCCCAAGGAGGGTCCGTCGCCAGTCCTGCACGGGGAAGGCACACTTCCTGCCGGCCAGCTGTGGACATGTACAGGAGGACTAGGGGTGGGGTGAGGGGTGACAGCAGAGGCCCAGAGTGGGGGCTGCATGCACCGCTGGGGCTCAGCCTTCTCCTTCGGGTCCAGGCACAGAACCTGAAGCCACATCAGCGCCTGAACCCTGGCGACCAAAGGGAGGTTGGCCACCTGCCACCTGGTGGGTGGGAGCACTTGGAAATTACAGACTGGGGGGAGGGGAGATACGGATGGCTGGGGGAGCTCTGCGGGTCTGGGTGGGGGTTCCGGGCCAGAACTCACATGGAGCAGGGATGCTGCCGCAGGCAGGCCTTTGTAACTGCTAGGACCGCTGGGCCTCAGGGCCCCCCGGGAGGGGATAGGGGACATCTCAGGAAGCCCTGTCTGCCATCCCTTGTGTTCTCCTTGCTCTGGGGGTGTTGGAGTTCACCCCAAACCAGGACTGCTGGGCTGCTCTGAATCTGTGTGGCTCCCTTGGCAGCTCTGGGAGGCAGAATGCAGGAAACCAGGGGCTGGTGGGTCAGCAGTCCTCTCTGGTCCCTGCACTTGGCTTCCCTCCTCCGGGCAGCCCTCCCTGGCCTCCCTGCCTGGAGTCTTTTTCCTTTGCTTTCTTTGGCAAGTTACATCAGGACACATTTGCAAAGCTTCCTCCTCCCAGAAGCTTTTTCTGACCCAGGGCAGAAGAAATCCATCTTTCTGCTGGCTGTCCTCAGGGCCTTGGACTTGGCCCCATATCCTATTGTGATGGGATAGTCACATGGCCCTGTTCCCCACCAGTCCCTGAGAGCTGGGGGCTAAGGGCCACTTTCTGTGTCCCTGGTACCCGGGCCAAGGCCTGGAACAGAGAGGTGCCTGGTGCCTCCATGGTTCATGCGGCGGGGCCGGGGCAGCCCATGTGCCTGTGGTTCTTGCGCAAGCCCTAGGCCCAGCCCCAGAAGTGCGTGCCCCATGGCGTCAGGGCCTATGTGCAGCAGGCCCTGGGGACGGGAGGAGTCTGCATGACCTCAGAGGGGTGTGTGCAGGGACGAGGGGGACGTGCGTGAAGTCATGCTTGTTTATGAGGCTCTGACACAGCACCCGTCATTTCCTATCTGCCGGGCCACACAGCTCTTTCCCTACTCAGCCAGCCTCTGACTTATCCTCGGGCATCACATGCTGTCACTCCTGCAGCCCATTTCAGCAGGGATGACAGGATCCGAGCTGTTGGTCTGCAGTTTGGATAATGAGCATCAGGAAAGCGCTCTGGCCTCAGGATGACAGACCCTCCCAGCAGCTGTCTACTTGGGCCCGTACAGGGCATGAGCTATGAGGTGCCCAGCTGCAGCTTGGCATCTCTGTGAGGGTCGCGGAGCCGGCAGGGCTGGGGCCCCAGATGGGAGCTCCTGGAAAGGAATGACCACAGGGATGGAGAAGGGGATGGCCAGCCCTGTGCCCTATCCTGCCTTTCTGCCCCTGGACCTCCCAGGAAAGGATCTGCAGGGCCCAGAGATAGAGTCCCAAGAAAAGGGTACTGGGGAAGAGTCATAAGGGTCTCAGAAAGAGGGAGGGAGAGAGGGACCCACATGGCTCAGGTGGAGACAAAGGGCTGGCAGGGGCCAGCACCAGGGATGAGGGGGAGCAAGCAGGCCCCGGAGTTTCTCTTGAGAATGGGAGGGATCCTCAATTTCACTCCATCCCCCAAGTCCTGGTCCCTGAGGCAAATGCCCTCACAGTCCAGACAATGGAGAGGGATACAGACCTCATAGACCAGGGTGCCTGCCTTCCCTAAAGGTATTCACGTTCATGAAGGTTAGAATTGATGTATTCCGAGCTTGCCTTTGTTGGCTGGTATGTGGGTCGGGGCATGGAGGCTGTGAGGACAGGGCTGCCCTTGAGAAGGATTATGAGGAGGTTGGAGTGGATAATGCCGAGGGAGAGGATGCGGGTGAAGAGTAATTAACCTATCTGCTACAATTTTACACTCCGTTGTCTTGGGACTGCCTTATTTCTGTTCTGGAAGCTGTCTATTGTGGCCCTAGCTTATCAAAAAGTGATGTTTCTATTAAAAACAAAACAAAACAGCACCTTGCTGGCCAAAATGGAAACACACACACTCACACGTATACATGTGCACGTATGCACACACACACAATGCACATGCACACGCTCTGCCCCATTTGGCAGCGTTACCTGGTGGTTCCTGGCAAGAAGTCTGACAGGTCCTCACAACCTGAGAGTGAGTTCTTTTGTCTTCAAGGGTCAGACACTAGGTCAAGCCATGTGGAAAAACAAGGAATTTATTGTAAAGAGAGCATCGGGAGGGGTAGTCTAGCTATTCTCTGGCTCCTGCTTTCTTATTATTTCCTTATTGGGGTAGGGTTTCCATAGAGTGAAATGCACACATCTTAAGTACACGGGTGGTAGGTTTTTGTCTGTGCCTACACCCACATAACCTCCACCCAGATGAACATAAAGAACATTTCCGTCACCCCAGAAAGTCCTCTTGTGCCCCACCCCAGTCACTTAAACCCACAGCTCCCCAGAGATGACCCCTGTTCTGATTTCTATCATTATACATTACTTTCAATTGTTCTGAAACTTCATATAAGTTGAATCATACTGTGTAAACCTTCTTATACAACACTGTGTAAACTTATGGTTTGGTTTCTCTTTGGTAAATGCCTGGATTTACCTAAGATTGCTGGGTCATAAAGTAGCAGTATGTTCAACTTTATCAGAAACTGCCAAGCAGTTCCAAAGCAGCGGGACCACTTTACTCTCCCACCAGCGATGCGGGTGAGTTCCACTCACCCCTTCTCTTCATCAACACTTGGTATTATCAGTCTTCTAAATTTTGCCACACAAGGGGGTGGGTAGTAGTATGTTCACTGTGATTTTAATTTGTGTTTTCCTAATGACTAGTGAAGCTAAGCACCCTTTCCTATGCTTATTGGACATTTGGATTTCCTCTTTTGTGATGTGCCTTTTGACTTTTTTTTCCAGTTTTGTGTGTATGTTGTGTTTTATCATTTTCCTTTTTGATGAGTAGGAGCTCTTTATATGTTCTAGCTATTCTATATATTTCTCTGTCAGGTATTTGTACTATGAATATTTTCTCCCAGCCTGTAGCTTGCCTTTTTGCTTTCTTGATGGTGTTTGTGGGTAAGCAAAAGTTTTCAATTTTATTGAAGTCAGATTTATCACTTTTTTCTCTTATGATTAATGGTTTTTTACATCCTGTTTAAAAAATGTTTGTTTACTCTGAGATCACAAAGATATTTTCCTGTTTTCTTCTGGAAACCTTATTGTTTTATCTTTCACATTTAGGTCTAGGATTCATTTCAGAATAATTTTTCTGTATGGTGTAAGGTAAGGGATCAAGGTTCCCTGTTTCGTATGGATTTCCAGTTGATCCAGCTCCATTTACTGAAAATATCTTCCTTTCTCCACTAAATTGCACTGGAGACTTCATGGAAAATCATGTGACTGCATGTGCGTGAAACTATTTCTGGATTCTGGATTCTGGATCCTTTCCACTGATCTGTGTGTCCTTATTGTGGCTTTATAATAATCTTGATTCACATGGTGTAAATTCTCCAGCCAAGTTTGTCTTGGCTTTTTATATTTCCAAATATATTTTAGAATCAGCTTTGTGGACCTCTATAAAGAAAGCTTGCTGGAATTTTCATATGAATAGCATTGAACCAATTTAAAGAGAATTGACATCTTAACCATATTGAGTGTTAACAATCCATGAATATGGTATACCTCCCCATTATTTAGATTTTTATTAATTTCCTTCAGCAATGTTTTATAGTTTGTAGTGTAAAGATCATAGACGTCTCTCATTAAAATTAGAATTTTTGATTCTATTGTATATAGTACTTTTATACCACTTTGGTGTCGTGGAATGGTAATTCTCATAGGTTCCTCTCTCTCTCTCTCAACTACTGCATACATGTTCTCAGTGCAAATTTTGAAAGGAGCCAGTCTGACTGGCCTATTCAAAACCACAGTCTTCCTAGGTATAATCTCCTTTGATTCTGGGGACCACCAACCTGATCCCATTACCAAGCACAACATACTCCTTTCCTGAGCAGAAAACATCAGATGCAATGTTTTTTTCACAGGAAGGAAGGATCATGTGTGGCAGCTACCGTGACCGACATGTCACAGTTCTGTCGGGGAGTACTGCCCACCCCCCCCACCTCCAAAAGATATATCTGCCTGGAACCTTAGAATGGGGCCTCAATTGAAATAAAAGCCTTACCATACGTAATTAAGGTAAAGCTCTTAAGATGACATCATCCTAGATTAGGATGGGCCCAAAATCCAACGGCAGGTGTCCTTACAAAAGACAGAGAAAGAGAAGAGACCCGGAGAGACTTAGAGGGGAGAAAGTGGTGTGAATATGGAGGTAGAGATTGGAGTGATGTATCCACAAGCCAAACAACACCAAGGATTGCCCCACAGCTACCAGAAGCTGGAAGAGGCATGGGATGGATTCTCCTTCGCAGCCACCAAAAGAAACCAGCTCTGCTGACACCTTGATTTCAGACTTCTGGCTTCCAGAATCATGAGAGAATACATTTCTGTTGTTGTAAGTCTTCCAGATTGTGTTAATTTGTTACAACAGCCCTAGGAAATGAATACAGATATAGATATGTAATACCACCCTAAACTGATGGATGGTTATAGCTAGAGCACCTGCTTGAGTAATACAACTGCCCTGCAGAAGGTGCAGCCGTAAGCACCCCTCACTCTCACACCACACCTTTCCCCCCATGTTGTGGGGACTTGCCCTGAACTGCAATGGGGCCGCCTCAGGCTGGGATTCATGTAGTAGAAAATGGGGGGGGGCTCCGCCAGTTCCTTTGCTGTTCTGTGCCACATTTTTCTAGCCCCCAGGGTTGGACAGGTGGGAGGGGAGAGGTAGTTTTAACTTAGGGTTGATTTCTTCTAGTTGGGACAGATATCCAAACGCTAATTTTTTCCCTGGCTGAGCACCTCTGGGGTTCCCTCAGCAACCAATGACAGGGACCCTTTGGAACGTCCTTACACTGGCAACACTTTCTTAGTTAGCTGTGAAAGACCCTTCCTGCTCCTGATCTGGAAGTTCACTTTGCAGATACCCCCTTGGGTCTTGGCAACTCAAGGCCAGCCACCGTCCAGAGATCCAGTGGCCATGGGAACCTCACTCATCTTGCTGTGCCAAACTGTAAATACAAGCCATTCCCAACATGTTGTTTTCATTAAAGTGACTTTAAAATAAGATTTAACATCTGGTAGGTCAATTCCCCCTAACCATTTTATTTTAATAATTTCCTTGTATACTTTCTCTTTGCTATAAACTTTTAAATCCTTTGTCCAGCTCCCTATCTTTCATCGCATCTCCTTCCCCCCACTCCCCCAAAGCCAAAACACATTAAATTTATATTCTAACTTGGGGAAAATTACATTTTTATGGCATTACATTTTCCCCATCCAGAATTTAAATTTTCTCTATTTGTTAAATGTTTGAGAGTTTCCATTCAATTTCATAGGTTTTCTCACATAGGTTCTGTATTTTTCTTTTAAAAATTATTTCTGAGATTTTATGGTTATTGTGAATGCATTCTTCTTGTTTTTATGTCTAGCTGTTTTCGAGAAAAAAACAGATATTTCTTATCTATCATATTTTCAGCTGCCTTAAATTCTCTTATCAATCCTGATTGTCTGTTTCCAAGAGTGTCTTGGCTTTTCTGGATGTACAATAATTTAATTTGCAAATAAAGATAATTCTGTCTTTTTCTTCTCACATGTAACCAATTAACCTATTTTTTCTTGCATTATTTCTTTAGCTAGAACCTCTAAAATGGTCTTCACTTTAATGGTGATGGCAGGCATATACTTTTTGCTGGTAATTTTAATGACAATGGTTTCAACCAAGCAGTAATTAGTCCTTTGCCTTTGATTTTAATAAATATGTTTGTCTTAGTTAACATTTTTTTCCATTCTTATTTCATTTGGAATTTTCAATAGGAATGATTGCAAAATTGTATTAAATGCCTTGTCACATTTCTTGATACAACCACATGATTTTTTACCTTTATGTAAATGTTCTCAGATCTTGAATAACTCCATTTTGGGAACAAGCCCATTTTATCACTATATATATATATGTCTCACTATATATATATAATCACTACTATATATAAATTATATATATTATATATAAATCATACATATTTATAAATCACTATTTATATATATATCATGTATATATATAAGTATATATATATATAAATTGGTTTCAATTATCTATCATCGGCCATAAACTAACTATAATAGTAAAAATTAAGTAAAAGGAAAATGGAAGTATAAATTGAATTCTATTTGTATACCATTGCCTTTGGGAAGCTATACAGTGTAGTGGTTAGGGCACAGACATAGGAACCAGCCTTGCTGAATTTAAATACCAGCTCCACTACCTAATATGCCCAGATGAGAAGCTACATTTCCCAGCCACACCTGCAGATGGAGGTGGCCAATGAATTGTGGGTGGAAGTGTGTGGGGGCCTTTGAGAAAGCCTGCCCTTTTATAGTTCTGTTCCTTACCTTTCCTCCTGCTTCTTTCTACCTAGACACTGGGTGTGATGACTGGAGGCCCAGCAGCCATTTTGTGACCTTGAGGGTGAATGCTCCATGCTGAGAATGGTGGAGCAGGAAGGTGGAAGGAAGCTGGTCCTGGTGACACCACCCCACCTGTAGCCTCCATAGGCCCAGACTGCTTAAACATGAGACAGAAATGTATTTCTGCCTTGTTAAGCCACTGTCATTTCTTCTCTCAGCTGAGAGAAGTAACAAAGCAGCCAGTTCACCTTACTGAAGAACAGAAGGGGGCTTGTGGAAACTTACAGGCAATAAGCCACCACACCCAGCCCCTCGCTGCAGAGGAGTCCTGGGCCTGTGCTATCTAGCCATGTAGCCCACATGAGAATGAATGAAGCCTCAGCCTGCTGTTCTGGGAGCCCCCAGGCTACCCAAGACACCTATTTATCTTTACACCATACACCCCAAACCTAGCCATCTGGGGACCAAGAAGCCATGGATGTCTTCAAATCCATCCAGACCCAACTCCCCTGTGCTCAAATCCCAGCTTTCTAACCCCTCAGCCAAGACCAGGGAGGAACCTGCAAGTTGGGCATTTCAAAGAGGTGGCTATCTCCACCAGGGACACGGTGACCCAGAGTCGGAGGCCCTGCCGAGGACACCTGGCCACCTGCAGCCACAGCTGCTGGGCTCAGGAAGCTTAGCACAGGTCAGAGTGGGATCGCCTCACGTGTGCTCTTCAGATTTCCTGTGTGCGGGTTCGGTGTTCAAAACCACTGCACAGACACTTTTCCCCCAACATCTGAGGGCCTGGGGGCTTCCATATCTTTTTGCAACTCCAGATGCCTCATAGACACTGTTGGCTGGGAGTTTGTCCCAATCTACACTCTCGCAGACACCACTCCCTTCCTGTGGGGACACTGACTCTCAC